ATGACAAAATGCGATCGTGGAGGTCTTCATCGCAATCTCTACTCATGGAAGGGATTCATCATATTGCTCGTGTCATTGGGGGGCTCTGTTTCCATTCAACGGTAAAATGACAGTTCTGGCACAAGTTGACAACCGCACTTGCTGAAGAAACACGCGGGTGGCAAGAAAGCAGGATAAGACAATTTATGGATGGTGAAACGCTAGGTTTATGGATCGCAAACGAAAGAAACCCTACGTTGTGATGGGAACTTGACTCTAAAGCGAAAACGGCGAAGCAGTCTATAAGAAGAAAGGAAGCTGAATGGAAACTAAACTCTCAGTGTTTCTGCGATGTTTGGCTTCGGGCGATGGTATTTAAATACTTAGAGGCAGTACATCCCACAATCCTCCATCAGAGTTAGCATTACTATCAAGCATTAAGCAAATGTGAGTCAACCAACTTCGATCTTCCTAGTTCTGCAGTCCTGCGGCATATTAGTCCCCGAACGACCTGCTTTTTAAAACATGACTTACGCAAACATTTGGATTTTGAGGAGATGGTGAACAGCAGTAGTCGCGTGCAGCTATCACAGGATGAGGCGCTGTTCGCTCAACTTTTGACGGCACCCCTGCGGCTGATGCAATAGCCAAGAAAGCAAGGCTAACAAGGTATGCGTTGATCTGCATGATGACAAGAAGGCTGAAATCCGGCACTGTTGAGCAAAGGGCAGGGTGGAAAATGGAGACAACGACTTTGCGACTTTCTGCTGGCCTGGCTGTTTTATACTTTTCCACGCAGGAACCATCTTCCTCCAAGCTGTTGCCCACCGCCTGTGACATGACTCGTGGCAGCCGATGGGATGGACTATTTATGTAGGCGCAGTCTTGACATGCTACCAGTTTTCCATCTTTTAAACTTTTCTTCATGCCTGTAGGCTGTATATCCGGACGTCGCGGCCAAAAGTATTCAACCTCTGCACCCTGCGGTACGACAGTCCAGAGTCTTTAAGCTCGGTAGTAGATGTCGCTCCGGAATCACCGTCGCTCTTGTCAACAGTTGTGTGGAAGAACCTCGAGCAAGACAAACAACCCTTCCCTTCCTTCTCTTGCGGCTGTTGGTCGTCTACACGGCAGTTGCCCACCCCCGTCATCTCCGCACTCGTCTCCCCGGGTCCTTTCCCTGGCGCAACGCTACATCCCTGGACCCCGACAATCCGCAGGCGACACCACGAAGTGCCGACGACAATGTACCTGCGACACTGATTCTCTTCCTCCCTCGCGTTTTTGAATATATTGCCGCTATAACAACATGACTCAGGCCCTGTTCACGAACGCGCACGACATCCGAAGCCGCCTTGCCCTCATATCTCTACGGACGACGTTCTGCTACAAACTCCCCTGCTGCGCGCGTGCGGCTACTGGACCACAAACTTGCCGAATCGTTCACGCGATGGGATGCGGATCAGAATCTATGTGTAAGAGTGCAGCGCGAACTCGGTAGGACGTTTGGGCCCAACTGTCCGATCTGAAATCCTAACCTGTGCCTCCTTCTCCAGTACTCTGACTTCCTCGCCGACCTTGGCCAGCAACCCCAGTCCGCGAAAATCTTCTTTACGCCGAGACCTTGACGCTACAATTTCACAATGCCGACCCGACATTACAGACTATATCCGCCTTACTTACATCAGTGACGGGTCCCGCTTGAATCAAGCCCGGAAGATCATGACGGACGATCTCAACCAGTCTGGTCGCCGGAAAGCCCACAATATCGTCACCATCAAAAGGAGAAAAAGGTGCATGGAGATACGTCGAAATACCATGATGATTCAGACACTCTCTGTGGCGGGCGCATGTGGCTACTAGACAACGTTGAAGTTGGTTCTATCTCGTATCGCGCAATTCTGAATGTGCGAAAGATTGTCAAGCACTGCGCCGAGAATGGACGAGATCTTACAAAACTCTGGGCGCCGGACGAAGACCTGCACCAAGTGAAATTCACCAAGAAACATTGAAAGCCGTGTAGCGACGTCTCAACGAGGATTCTGGCGGCACTCCTGCTAGCCCAACGATTGGCGAGGACCCGGTTCCATGGAAGAACCAGCTAATATAGCAGGCGAAGGTTCCAATCAGCAGGTTGAGCCAGAAGCCGGCTCTCTCCCACTCAGACCTTGGCATTGTCGAGTCCCACGAGAATTCGGAAGGCTGCTGTCAAAAAGACGTTTGTGTCCGCACCACTCAAACCCCGGACCGGTTTGCTAATTTATGTCTTTGTACAGGAAGATCAAGATAGAAGGGAAAGAAAGATGAAGATGAGGAGACCTCCGCACATGGACGCCGCGAACCGCCCAGCATCAACCGATCGTGCAATATGTCCGGTTTATCCGAGGATATATTTGGCGGAGGCTGGCACGGTTCGAGTCTCTTGTCCAAAGTCCATCGCGCCCACGCATGTCTACCAATGTGCAAATCAGAAGTCCCCGTGCCACCTCTTTCAATCACCTCTCGGACACCCGGGAGCCAGACACAATTGGTCCGCCATTGACACTAAGCCAGCCCTCAACACCAGAACAGGCGCCGATCTTTGACCCAGCGCCCAAATGCCAACCCGCCAGCAGCTTCCGAAAAGCCAGCAACAACTATCGGGTCAGTGTCGTCAAAAAAAGGCGACTGAAAACGCCGTACCGTCGTCGAGACCTTCCAAGAGACATTGTTTCACAACCTCTGCCCAATTCTGCTTGATGGCAGCCCATGGGTTGACATCAAGTGTTTAGGAGATGGAAAACTCGTCGAGGACACCGTCATTGCCGAAATTCTACGTGCCGCACACCACATCTTCCCCTTCTCGACTATTCTTCTGGACCCCATTTTGTTCAAGGGTGAAGCTGTCCCTGATGGTGTACGAAGAAGGCTTGACGCTGAGCCCAAGGCAATTATTCTAACCCTTACCAATCTGTTATCAAAAGCACAGCATTGGGTCCTCGTGGTGATAACACGTCCAGAGCTAGGTTTCAAAGTCTTTGACTCCTTCCCTGACGCAACTTGCGAGGGGGAGATTCAATCTAAACTCGAAAGCCTCCTGGCACACGCCAAGGATCAGGGCAGTCGGAATCGAGCGCTCCGGCCTTTTGAGCACTCAGAGTGTCCTAGACAAAAAAGCGGCGTTGATTGAGGTGTGGTGACCTCATGGCAGGTTATGCGATCCCAGAAACTACTGCCTACGTAATCTGGGGACAAGCTTCGACTGCGTTCAGCGCAGGAAGAAGACTGGGCACATTTCTGTCGCAACGGTGTTACACACCCCCAACTTTGAACGTGGCCAGCCTTCGACAACCGCTAAAGCCCCCCGTATCAGGTACCCAAGACGACTCACGGCGTGGGCGAAGGATCTCGACGCCTACAGAATTGAAGTCATGTCCGGCGCCCAGAAGCAGCAAGACGTCTGGTCGAATAGGGTAGAGACAGCCGTGGCCGTGCTTAGCGACGCCTTGGAAATGTCAACTAAGGGTAGCGATGCGAGCACAGATGCATTCAACCAAAAGCCCGACGACTCTTCTTCAGCCGTACCGAGCCTAGAGATGGTCGGCCCTGCTGAAGACGAAGCAATTCGGAGATTAACAGAGAAGCAGCGCCAACGAACTGCTAGCTTTGCCTCACCGTCAAATAGTGATAAAAATGGCCTTCGCGAGAGTCAGAGAGGAAATGTATCAGGAATATGCAAGAATTGTCTAGCAAAGGCGGTGGTTTACTTGTTCCATGATCAGATGCTTTTGGCATCCACGGAGCAAATTATTGATAGGCGACAGTTCTCAGATAGGGCAACTCACAATTTGTATGACTTCATCAGGAGCAAACAGTCCCTGGTCGCAGATCTTGTGACGATTCGGCCTGGTGACTGAGTGAGATACTGTTGTCAACCCATAGTGGATGTGAAATTCGGAAAGTGTTGTTCAGTGAACCTGTGACACAGAACCAGGCCCCGGGGCCCGAATGCCGGCCTCAGTGCCGCCCTTACGGAAGGGGGTCGGCGTAGCTACTCCGCAGTATATTGATCAAGCCACTTGACGCAGAACCTTCTTCAAGGCAACAGCCGTGGGCATGCACACCTAGTGCGTTGCCTTCCCAAGCATTTCATAAAAAGTGCAGGTGAGGTATGAAAGATATTTGAGTCTAACAATTTATTGAAGCATTACAGCTGTTCAGTGCTTGAAACGTTCATTCCATGCCTCTGGCGACGGCTCCGCCCAGACAGCAGCGGGGCGCACGTGCCACACTATGTCAGCAGGTGCAGTGATCTGATGTCACTGTCACCAATGAAGCCACGAAAGCACTGAGTCAGCAGTTGTTGCCCCGCCAACTGCACCACTCCCCACTCCCAAAATGCAATTCATCCCTCCACATTAGCACCATTCCAATTGCGCCTGCATCTCCCACCACGAATACGCATTCGCCACCGAGCCGTCGCTGAGCATCGTCCATTTCCATCTTTTCTCTACAAATCCAGCTCGATGTGGGATTGTTCTAAAGTCACGATCGTCTCTGCCTGGCTCGAGGACGTTTGCGCTGTCACCGACCAACCGATCCGACCGCGATCCCCTAAACCCACGACGTCCCGAAAACCAAAGGCCCCATCGCCCGATCGAATTCAGTCCGATCGTCAACATTCACGTTGCGACCGAAGCAGAACACATATGGAGAATCGCCGTAGTCGCAGGCTGGCAAGCGGCGGTCAGCAGCCTGCGAAGCCATCAACACCACCAGATGGTAGCGGCAGCAGTCGGAGTTTGGACGCGACGGACTCGGGCGCGGAATCCCCAACTCCCAGGAGACCTGTCAAGTCAGTGAAGGCTGCGCGTCGACCGAAAAAGATGGCCGATGATGCTGATGACCTGGGACCAAATGGCTGTGAGCTTCCCTCCCGGTCGCTGTCGCTGCCTCAGCCCACACCCTCCATGTCCTCTTCAGCCTCCGCCTCAGCCTACACAGCCGCAATCTCCCACCGGCCGCACCACACCGCGACGACCATGACCAGCGCCCCGTCGCTTCCGCCGTCCGAGTCCGGAAGCCGAAGGTCGCGGAGCCCCGTAAAGGGGATGGCAAGCATGAGCTGGGCCCAGCGGCCAGTCAAGATTGTCCCTCTGAAACGTGGCCAGGTGCCGGGCGACATCCAGGCGCTGTGCGAGGAAGTACATAAGATAGCGATGGGCGTTGCTGTGGTCCCGGCATCTGTACGCGACCATGTGGATTCTTCTATGTCGGCACTGCGACCATTTGGGATACCTCTCGAAGACAGGAACCTTGATGCGTCTTGCCAACGCGATGACTTCAATCTCATGGGAGAGCTGCGAGATCTCGTGCGCGTGGTCAAAAACACAGAACGAGCAATCGTGCAGAATTTGGCCGAGGCACACTGGAACGACAGTGTCCACTCACAGCTTCTCACCATCGCCATCGAGGGGGACAGGGAGGAGGATCAGATGGACGATGCCGAAGACGAATGTGTCGTCAGCGTCTTCAACACCACGCAAGCGTTCATCACGCCCGGATGCATACCGCAGCACATCAGCGAAGGCGTCCAACTCGAGGCCAGGATAGTGGACTACTGCATGTGCATCAATGATTCAGCAATCGAGCGCGCCGCTCGCAACGCCATCAAGTTCCACAAGCAAACCGTAGACGCCACGGCCAGCGGCAGCAGTGCCGCATCATCATCAGCTGCGTCTGATGCTAGCGACGTCTTCTCGTCACCGAGGAAAGGCACGAAAGCGAAGAAGTTGCCTCAGATACCCCAGTCGGTCAACCATACTGATTACGCCGCATTGGCCATGTCGCCCATCACCGTGAGCATTGAGACTAAGAAGAACGATGGCTCCGAGGATGTGGCCAAGGCGCAGCTCTCCGTCTGGGCCTCGGCGCAAATCCTGCGCCTGAGACAGCTGATCGGCTCCAATGAGCCGTTGGGAATCACGCTGCCGTTGGTGTTTGTGCTGGGATCATCATGGCAGCTTCTTTTCGCAGTAGAGAAGGAGGATCGGATCGTGAGTGCCCCTCATTCCCGGTGCAATGCTATCTTTGAGTGGTGGCTAACCTCTTGTTCGACAGGAACTTATTCAATCGTTGTCGTTCCGATTTGACGGTGCCTCGAATACAATACTTGGCTGTTACAAGATTCTGGCGCTGCTTAGGGCGCTGAGGACATGGAGCAAGACGGTGTTTCGGGATTGGTTCCTGAACGCTCTTCCGGCTCTATAGATAGAGATTTAGAGGCTAGAGTTCCAAAGTCACAGGCTCTTTATTTTCATACGGATCAGTGCTAAATAGCAGCATTTAACCAGAGAGACAAATTCATTAAAGCTGTATCGAAGCTGCGAACTAACTGCTGATGGATCTAGCGAGTGTTAGAGTCAGACGACCAGCGTGAGCATAACACCAGGCGGCAGGCATATAAGAGGACAGGCGCTAGGCTGTTCAGGTAGAGAAATAAGGAGAAGCAGAAAGTTACGCAGTAGCTAAGAGCAGCTAATGATAACTAAGACCTCAAAATATAAAGATTAAATTAAAGCCTACCTAACATTCTCATCTAACGCTCAAAGACTTCCCACTATTCAATCTGTTATCCTCATTATATATTTATATAGATAAGTTAGATAATATCCTTTAGAAGTATGTTGCTTCTGAAGATAGAGAGGAGATAATAGATAAGTTGCTTAGTGCAGCGTTTGTAGTTATAAACACAAATGGTAAACCACTAGAAATACTGATCTATAGGTGTAATAAACACTTACCTTCTCTCTAGAGGTGCTATATTCCAGCTTAGCTAGTTAAATTAATCTCAGTCTGAGCGCTCTAAGGTTTGCTGAGAACTCTTTTATATAGGTCGTATTGTTAATAAAGATTATTACTACTACCTATCTGATGCAACTAATAGAGAATAGTGCTATTAGGCTGGATGATAATTTAAGGAACCTTACTCTAAAGCTTAGTAAGATATAGATTCTCTGAGGGTTTTTAGATAATAATAACCCTATTATACTAGAAGTAATAAATAATATAATTATTTATTAAAACTGCTACCTAAAAAAGAGTAGGTCTATAAAAGTAGGGGGTAAGATTTATTAAAATCTTATTAAGTATTATTTATTAAACTTCCTATACTTAAAATATCTACGTTATAAATATATTTAGAGCTAATAGTTAGATATCCTTCTTATTTAAGTTTCTAGTTTATAGAATATCTAGTTAAATTAATAAATATTTAATTAAGGTTTAAATAATTTTAAACTACTAATAGTAACCTATTTAATTTAACTAATTAATAATAGTATTATTAACTACTAACTTATATAAATATTCTAAAGAGATATTATAAGTTAGATAATATTAATACTAGCTTATTTTAACCTAATTAAATTATAAAGTTTATAAACTTTATCTTAATAGTAACCTATAGTAACTTAATAGTTAATATATTTTATTAAGAGGGATAAATAAAGTATCTCTAATATTCTTTTATTAGAAAATATGAATAACTTTTAACTTTACTTATTATTATACTTTAAAATTAAATAAAATTATAGATCTATTTATAATTTTTATTAACTTCTTACTTATAATATATAAAGAATATTAATATATAGTTATTATAAATAAAGTTACTTTATATTTAAGAATATATTACCTATTCTTAAAACTAATAGAAAGGAATAGTATATATATCTATATAATAGAAATCTATAAAATTATTTAAACTTAAAACTAAGTTAGTAATATTTAATATTTAGCCTTTATAATAGAGCTAATTTTATATATTATACTACTAGTTAATAATAGTAGTACCCTCTTAACGCTTAATATAAACTAAGTTAAAGCTAGGATTTAAGCTAGAAAGAGAGTTCTTTAAGGCTATAAATAAGTAATATAAATAGGGGGGTATAATATAAAGAAATAGCTGCTGAGGGTTTAAAGTTAGAGCTAGCTATATAGAAAAAAAATTAATTTATATTAAGGGAGGTAGAAATAACTATAATTATAAAATTCTAAATATAGGTTTAGAAATCCTACTTAGTAAAAACTAGCTATTAGAATCCTAAATCTAGGTTTAGAAATCCTACTTAGTAAAAACTAGTTATTAGAATCTTAAACCTAAGTTTAGAAATCCTATTTAATAAAAACTAGTTATTAGAATCTTAAACCTAAGTTTAGAAATCCTACTTAATAAAAACTAGCTATTAGAATCCTAAACTTAGGTTTAGAAATCCTATTTAGTAAAGACTAGCTATTAGAATCTTAAACTTAGGTTTAGAAATCCTACTTAGTAGCAGAGGCTTATAGTATAGTAATAGTAAGGTTAAGGCTAGGATTTAGGCTAGGTTTAAGCTAAGATAGCAGGGTAATTAGGTTAGGTTTATAACTTTATACCTTAAAGGGTAGCTCCTAATAACTTATACTCTTAGGGGTAGCTCTTAATAACCTATACCTCTAAAGGCAGCCCCTAATAACTTATACCCCTAAGGGTAGCCCCTAATAATCTATACTCCTAAGGGCAGCTTCTAATAACTTATACCTCTAAGGGCAGCTCTTAATAACTTATACCCCTAGGGGTAGCTCTTAATAACTTATACCTTTAGGGGCAGCTACTCACTTATACCCCTAGAGGTAGCTCCTAATATCTTATACCTCTAAGAGCAGCCCTTAATAACTTATACTCCTAAGGGTAGCTCTTAATAATTAGTACCCCTAGAGGTAAAGAGCTACTTACTTATACCCTTAAGGGTAGCTCCTATTAACTTATACCTCTAGGGGCAGCTCTTAATAACTTATACCCCTAGGGGTAGCTCTTAATAACTTATACTCCTAGGGGTAGCTCTTAATATCTTATACTCTTAGAGGTAGAGAGCTATTTACTTATACCTCTAGGGATAGCTCTTAATATCTTATACCTCTAGAGGCTTTCTTTAACTTATACCCTTATAGCTAAAGAATAATTTCTAACCTTAAGGTATTAATATTATATTAAGAGACTTTATAAGCCTCACTAAACTTTTAGTATAAAGCTTCTACTTAGAAGGCGCTTAATATTTATACTATTTACGCTTATACTTATTACGCTTATACCTTCTTAGTTTTTTCCTAAAGCTGTTATTAGTAAGTATAGTTTACTAGTCTTAGCTAAAGTTCTTATTAAGCTTTATAGTGAGGTATCTATATAACTACTTAGACTATATTAAGTCTATAAGAGCTATAAGTATAACTGCTATCCCCCTCTATATATAAGGAGCAAATAGATAGTAGCTAATAATATATTAGAAAGAGTAGGAAAAATAATTAATATAGTAAGGTATATATAGCTAGCTAATAAGTAAGTAACACTAATATCCTCACCTATAGATAAAGAGATAAAGAAGAGAGGAAATTAGGGATATATCTATATAGGAAGGAAGTAGAGCTTTTGCTATCTATACGTTTAGAGTAGTAATAGAGGTGTTAAACTATAAGTTAGTAAGCGCTTTACTAAAAGCAAATTAGTATATAATATTATGTTAAAAGTAAAATAAATATATTAAGCTAGTAAGAAAGAGAAAAAATAAAGGGCTAGCTGCTTATATAATAAACCTTATTATTCTAAATAGGTAATAAGAGTGTAAAGTAATAGCTAGGCTATATATAAGTAAAGAAGCTTATTTTATAGCACTAAAGAGGTTATAAGTAAGAGGAGTAATAAGTAGAAGATATACACCTAAATAACTAAGAGACGTCTAATATCACATCTATAATAAACTAATATTAGGTTTATTAAGACGGTCAACTAGATTAAAGTAAGCCTATAAAAGCATAAAGTAGGGTTTATTCAAAATAGGGTAGTAGAGTTTATAGTGATTTTCAGCCCTAAAATAAACAAAAGTAGGATATATTAAAAGCTATAATATAGATCTAGTTAGAGGTATATTTTCAAAAGTACTTAATATATATAAAAGGAGGAATAGGTTAGTTTTATATAAGGAGGAAATTAAGATATTATTAGTAATTAAATATATATAGACCTATTAAGTTAGGAAAAGCGTACTATTTAGTAAATTAGATAATATATTATCTAGTAGGAGAAGATAATTTAAGGGGGTAAGATATAGAGATAGGTTAGAAGTAAATAGTTTTAAAAAGTAGGTAATATTAGTATTTAGTATAAGAGGAAGCTATTTAATAAGCTATTAATAGTAGAATAAATTTATTATTATTTATCCCCTAGCATAAGTTATTAAGATAGAGCTATTTATCTATAATCCTTAGTATACTATTATAATTTATAAGGTATATTAGTTTACTATAATTACTAATAAAGTATTATTATATTTAAGGATATATCACTAAGAGATCTTTATTACTAGTAGATCTTATATTATAGAGGCTATCTATAATATCCTAAGGATTATCTACACTTAAGCTAATTTAGCTATATTATAATATCTAAACCTAAGCATACTACTTATCTTATATATTATAGCACTAAAAGTAGATAGTATATAATATATAGAGTATCTATATATATATTAGTAGCTATAAGTTATCTAAAAATATTACTAAGCTAAATATAAATAGTATAATAATTAGTAGAAGGGGGGTAATATATATAAGAGGGCTATAATAGTAAGGGATTTACTATAGATAATAGAAGTATTATACTAATAGTTTTTCCTATTATATACTAGAAGCTAGTAGTTTAAGGTTAAGTAGAGGTTAGAGATAGTTATTTAAAGTAAGCTACTAAAGCTAAGGATAGATAATATAATATAGTTTATTACGTTATATAAGAACTAAGAGAAGTAGTTTAAAGCTAATGCGCGTAAAGAGGTTAATATAGTAGATAAAAAGTTAGAGCTAAATAGGTAGTTATACTATATTAAGTAGATAAAAGATTTAGAAAGGTTAAATAAAACGTAGTTATAAGAGGCTATATAGCTAATTAAAGATAATAAGAAGATATTATAGTCTATATAAGCTATATTTAATAGTATTACTAATAAAGTATATATAATAGTAGCACTATATAAAGTTAAGTATAATATATTATTTAAGGTAGAGTAGAAAGAGATCAGCTAGAAGCTAGTATAGCTATTTAATAACTATATAGAGGATAATATATAGTAGTAGTATAAAGAGGTTTAGCGTAAAATAATAAGTATATAGTTCTATATAGATAAGTAGCTAGAGCGTAAGCAGCTGCTATATTAGTTTACTATATAGTAGAGGTTATTATA